CCGTCCACTGAGGTCGGAAATTTAAAAATAGCCACGAGATTGCCAAGCGGTTCGTTTATATTTTATCTATTTATTTTAAGTTCTTGTGAAATGGCAGCTACAAATTAAACTAGGACAGTTTGCAGAATAGGCTTTGGTAGGCAACCACCAGCAAGAAGACGATATTTATGCCATCCAACAATCGGCCTGTAAACGAACTTTTTATTTACCAATCCCAGAAGCCATTTAGGTGGCTGTGCAACTGATGTTTTATTTTCTAGGAAGGTCGTCACTAAGGCACTAATGCGGCTAACTATAGCAAAGCTGAGAATTAGAAGGAGTCCGGTCGCATTTAGGTTCCTTTCAACGTTAACAAGTAGTCGGCTTTCTTGGTTCCATTTGAGACATTTTTACCTTAAAAAATGAAATTACATTATAACGGATCAACCTTAAAGCAACTAATCCATTTATTTTTGTTACGAGACGTGTTTTACGTTTTCATTATACCCTTGTATTTAACTAAATTGTGTGAGACATTTTTTGAGAACAAAAACTTCTGTTTGGCTATCCTATCCGATACATTGTATGCGAGTCCAGACTTTTATTCCAGGATAAAAAAATCTATCGTGCATTTTACTATGATAACGCCGAGTGCGTTCTTAGAATTTTTGTAAGATTGCACAGCAACAAGCCCCCAAATAGAACTGTGGGGCCAAGCAAATTCGGCTTATCACCCAGTAGAGCACTGGGCAGTAGATTCAAACATATATTTACTCTGATATAACCGCTACTTAAATAATTACAGTAAGCGGGATGGCACCGTATATTTCTCCAAGGAGGAAAAGTCAAATATAAGAGACTAGGGAGTAAGATTGACAACCTGGCAGTTTCATTCAACGTCACCATCCAACATAACTGACGAAATCGGCACAATTAACCACAACGAGGCGGACTACCAAGCCAAAGATCGCATCAATTACGACACCTAGCGGTGATCGGGAGAGATGCTGATGGTAGTACGCATGTGATCTGATGACCCCTACGGACTGCGCACCCTGAGCCTCCAGTACCCTTATCCGTGACTGTCTCTGAGGACGGGTTTGAGCGAGAATCCGAAACGCAGGACCTATAAACAGTTTGTTCCAGCAATCATATCTTCCCCTCTTGAGCTGGTTACTGAAAGTCACCTATGCGTTTCCATCAGCAGTTTTATGCCTGACTGCCAAGTATGCTTTTACTTTTCAGTGGAGATGACGGAGGATCTTCTGAACGTGCTTATCAAAAACGGAGAGTACGTTCAAACAGTTCTGATGCCGAGCTGGGGTGAGGATGCCGACTTACTCCAGGAATTGCAGGTATTTTTTAGACATTTTTGTAAAAGTAGGATTAGCATTCGGATAGTAATGTCATTGCATTTGCTTTTTAATACAGGACTTGGGAAACATCGCTAAAAACATTTAACTATATATTATGCTTTGAAAAATTAATTGGGTCAAGTTATACTACTGATAATCAGGGGAGGCGATTCCTGCACGAAAAATTGGTGGATTTGGGTTTTGGTTTTTTTATTCAGCTACGGCCCTCACTCTGGAAAACCCACCTAGTAATGTAGTGTGGATTTTCATCTGCTATGTACATCTGTATTTAGTCAGTCATTTCTTAAAGACTGTACACAAATGTAGTCTGTAATAAGTGGATTACAGTCAATAGAGACTTCTGTAAATTCATTCATAGTAGCCAGCTGAACATTGAATCTTCTCCCAGCAGTTTGTTTGAATCGAATCAAGGCTAATCGAATCGTCATTGGCACGCACTTTCACACTAATTTTCGATGCTTAGGTAAAGGCGGCTGGCTATCTTAGGTAAATGGGAAGGTTTCCGGTTTTAAGGAAGTCTATTATTACGCACATTCTGAAATTACTCCGTTATCTAATGCTTACCTTCCTTGGATAGGTGGTACATAGGGAAGCGTGACTAGCTAGACGCACATGTTTGTTCGATCTGAGGTCGTTCAAGTATCTGCAGGTCAGTGAATTTGGAGCAGCCCACTGCAAACGTGAAAGACCTTGAAACAACGGGCTTTAATCAAGGAAGTCCCACGGATTATTGGGAGTCGCGAGTTACTTGAGTCATGGAACAAGTGCAACGACCTGCCAAATCCATATTCGGTGCTGAGTTTCAGTTTGGCCAAAACAGTTAGTCGATCAGGGAACACACGGGCAAACGCGCCGTTTAATGTCTGTGCCAGCGTGCCAGATGGTTGGGCAGTCGTTACACCCAGGTACACCACGGATGATAGAAGTTCAGGAAGTCACGACCTGCGTGTCAGCCATCATGCAATTAGCGCACAAGCCGGCACCTATACTCGATAAAGACGAACCTTTAATTTTCCTAGATATGCAGCGGCAAAGCGACTGATTACAATAAATATTACAAATCCCTGTGTATGAATTATCAGTTTCTGCTTTTGTCTCTGATGATGAATCCGCGAGGGATTTTGAAACGTCGGGTGAATAAAATAAGTGTCCCAGCGATGACACCTCCCTCCTATTACTGTTGGTTGTCGGCAACATTTGCCGTCCTCGTCATAACGACTTATTTTCTATACAACTGCCCAGGTTTCCGTAATTGGCAACAGGTCCTCAGGTTGCAGCAAGGAGTTATGCGAAGCTGTTGGTGACCTATATGATGAAGCATTAACTCGCATATGATACATATGTGTAAGGAAGTCGCCCAACCGAGACTGGCTTTTTTAAGTTGGCATCTTACTTTACCGCAACTTCAGTTTATCGTGAATTTTACCTGCCAACCATCATTGTACTGGTGGGTTTCTTAATTTCAATAGCCACTGACACTGGAATTGTTAGGAGCAGCCGGCGAGTGGGCAGGCCGCAAGCCGCGTTCACGACATGCTATCGATCCGCCTACGGACAGTCAATCAATAATTTAATCAATAATTTAATGCTGCATCCATGCTAAGAGTCTGAAAAGCCAGCCCTTGAATTATGAGCCAATCGTGCCAGGATAGTATATGATTGGCCGGATAGACGTGGCTCTACACACGTTTGTTACCCTAAATATGTTGTACTAAGTGCGCTAAAAGACTTCTGCTTTTGCGCCCCTTCTCGTCGTATTCTTCCTCGTGGACTCACACAAGGCATTATTGGGCGGGGACATCTCGGCTTTGGCTACATTTACAACAGGAATGACCATTTCTGGCTTACTAGCCGTCGTCAGCAACTCAAACCCAATCGCAGGGATGGTGATTCCCGAGATTCGAGCCCACAACCTTTGGTAATTGAGTGCAACACTCGCTGTTTTAGTCGGTTGCAATCGGGAATATACCGGCAGTAGGCCGCTCACTCATCTGGCTAGGGAACGAAATTTCCAAATAAAGTGTATTCATCTCTCTTTCTCTCTTACACCCTTCATTACACAGTCATGTGTTGCGAGCATCGCAGAACTCCGTCCCAGGACAATCAATCCAACAAAAATTGTCCAGCTACTCGGTATCCCCCTGGGGTCCCCGGTGGAACAGACTGTACTCCCAGGAGGACTCACAGAAGAAGAGTACAAAAGTCTCCTCAGCAGCCGCCTGCTTAGTCTCGGTACGTGCAAAACGGAAGTCACATATTCAACATCTGCCTCCTTGTGCTTGCAAGTTCTAACCCTGGTGAGCTCTGCCTGAGAGACAGCCTCTACGCACTCCAAGAGCTTATAGTTGCCCTCATGAAGGCGATGGTGACAAAGCGGTTACCTTATTTGGCAAAGGTAGTTTAAGTTGTGCACCTCATATATCCCTAGTCCCCGCATATTGTCCTAAGGGGATGGTGGTTAAAGGAGTCTTGGAGGTGGAGAAATAGGATAGGCAGTGAAAGGAATTTTTAGAAGTGGAAAAATGCAGTTGAATTTGTTTCTCGCGGCCACTGGTAGTAAGTTGTCCCGCATGCAAATTAAAGGTGTGCGCGGCGTTTCGTGCCTCAGACTATACTAATCTAACGCCGGAACGGTAAGTTAGACCTCAGGTTAAGTTTAAGTAGAGGACCTCTTTGTTAGGACGGCCTATCAATAGCCTTAGCAAGCAGTAGCTTGCAAGCTATAGCCGCTCTCCAAGCAGGCTATCGATCGGCCTGCGCGGGCCAATGTACACAGGCCGTCAGTCAATCGATAATTCGAAATTTATATTGCAGTCCGTCGTCGGAGAAAGTAGTCTATCCTACCAGCGACTATTTCAGAAGAGAATCTAATTGGCTCAAGGAAGATCGTTTACACGCGTTTGTTTCCTAAATACGTTGCACCTCATACACTTAAAGACTTCTACCGTTGCACCTTTCTTGTCGTATTCTTCCTTTGGGGACTCACAAAAGGCGTTAGTGGGTGGTGATATCTCGGTCTGGGCTTCCGTTACAACACTCTTAAGCAGCATTTAAACTTTTTAGGGGTTTCAAGAAATCTGCATTTTCATAATCGGGTTTTTGCGCAATACATTAAACGATAATACAGATTAGGAAACTCGACAGCTATAGCTCAACAATATTTCTAAATACAATTAAATAAAAATGCGTATAGCAGTTACTAAAGTTCCTTCGACTGTTTATCCTAATTTCACACCCATAAAACGCCCATCACCACCGTTTCCTTAGGACAAAATGCTGAGACCAGGTGTATACGAGGTGTAATACTTAAATTACTGTTGCCCCTTATCTAAACGGGTTAACGTTTCAGAACGGTTCTTCGCAGATTTAATTCAGAGCTGCTGCTCGTGAACTTATTGCGGGTCACGCATGCTCGACAAATGGTTAGGCAGACAACGCCCAGAGCGGCTTATTTTGCACACATTCGTCGTTCAGAACTTATAAATTTCACGTTGCCTGTGAGGCCGCCGTTAAAGAAACTACACCTACAGAAGATGCCATACTTCATGAGAGAGAGAGAGAGCGATATGTCTTACTTTGAAAATATAATTCCAAAATCTTCAGCAAAAGGGTCTTCCATTCAAAGGAAATAACATTTAGCACACAACACCACAAAATTTTGTTTGACGCCTTCTATCTTTGAGGATGGACTACAGAAAGAGCCCGAATGCCCAGACAAGTAAAACTATGATTCCAGTGATCGAAGCGCCTTCTTCTACACTGCAGAATTCCAGTGGATATTTCTGGAAAGCTACTGTATTTCGTTTTCTCGGCCTTCATGTCGATCTAGGGATATTCAGTCGATTCCAAAAAAGCCAGGTGATTGAAAAGATTTCCTCGATGTTTGCTACAACATCCCCGCCCCAGGTTTGCGATCCAGGAACAAGCTAAACTGGCTGCGGACAGGCCCTTCCCGTTTCGCCGTCTAGGCGCTCTTTACGGAAGTTTGCTGAGCATGTCGTAGAAGGAGCACTAACAATTTTTTTTCAAATTGAAAAACAAAATATCAAAACTGGAAACACACCTGACCGTTCCAGGCGCCCTACTCCTCATGAGACTCTCAGTTCTTGTTTGTCTGTATACTTTCAGTACCCCGACTGCATATGAGAAGGAAGACAACTCTCGAACTGGCTACCAGCCTGGTGACAAGACTTTGTGATGCCACGGCTCGGGGTTCCGCCCTCCTCGTCGGCTCTGAATATGCAGGCACAGCCACGGGCTGTAACAGTAAGTCAACCTGCTGCGTCTTAAGGAGCCGTCCCTTTAAACGGGCTTCAAATGGCTTTTTCTTAACGTTTTTGCTTCATTATACTGTCGAGCAAGGTAACCTCCTCGGAGGGATTCGAACCCACGTCAACGAGGAAAAGCTGTGTGTACAGCCAACGCTCCGACAACTGAACTTCGAGGCTCATAGGGAGTCGTGAATTTCACCATTAGGTCGATTTGCCCGCCCAATATACTGCACGCATGGAGTCCGCCAATAAGGATACAGGAGGCTGACTGTCCAAGCAGAATTTTCTACGCAATTCAAAGTTCCCGCTGAGCCTCATAGCTCAGTTGGCGGAGCGTTGGTTGTACCCAGGCCCTTCCTTGTTGACGTGGATTCGAATACCACCGAGGCTGCAAATTTGTCCCGTTTGGGTCAATTGCCTTATTTAATTCGGCCAACCCCTCTTAACAATATCTGCAATTATTATTTGTCGGAAACAATCAGATATGTGGCCCACTCAGAAAGGGGACGCAAGGGCTTCTTTAAAGCAGAAAAAGGTAGTAATAGGAATTAAGCAAACTGATGTATAACCCGCTGGTGTACGGAATTCGGAAGTTCGTCGTTCCGCTCTGCCTTTGGGGCTTAGTCTCGAGCCAGGATCTGCAGTTTAGGCAGATGAACTTTGCCGGCAAAGGCAAGGAAGATTAGAATGCTCATTTCTAGTTCATTAGCCGTCATCACCCAGTCATACACTGCCCCAAGCGGTACCCCA